TTATACCTCAAGTATTTCTCAGTTGTTTTTAATTTCTTCTTGAGGTTTCACTCACGATCACTCACTCTAGCACACTCCAGTCTGAGCTACTTTTGGTGTCATCATGATATTGAACGTGCTGTGTAAGGTAGGATATTAGATGCGTCACTGCCGAAAGTTATGCTCTTTGTTAGTAAAATCTGGTCCGTCGAAGCTGTGGATGTTCGAGCACTGTGTCTGATCACCATTTTCTATGTAGGATCGCTAGCATTTGATGGAAACTACAATTAAGTAATTCTGAGATGAGGCGGTGTGTGTTTAGGTATAGTGAAGACCACCATTTGTTAAGTGAGGTCATTTTGAAGCAAGAGCTAGGGTGGCTTGAATATGAATTATTGCACATTGTCCCAGTGGTTTTCAAACCATGATCTGTTTGCTTGCCTTGGGTAAGGTTGGGATGACCGAATTGTTGTCCAGTGTATGACGTGACTCTGTAGAGGAAAGGATAGCACTCTAGTCGAATGGCAACAAACACACTAGCAGACACTGACCCAATACATGAAATATTGAGAACGGGCCAGTCAATTAGAAGTAATTCAGGCAAATAGATTATCAAATGCTAGGGAAGCAACACAGATCAAGTGGTCACAGCGGTTACAAAGGTCAGTGTCCGATAAAAAGAGGAAATAACCTTTCACTACTCACAAGCTAGTACTAATCATAGTCAGTAAATACCGCTCATAAATATTCATGTTTCACTTCCCAGTGGAGTAAATGCCTATGAAGTCACCTCACGTCTAAGAATAAAGCATAGAGTCTAAAAGATCATACAGTTCAGTGACTTGAGGCGATAGTAGACATGTCTCAGTATCGGAAACGCTTTTCATGATGCTTCAGGCTTCTTGTTTCTTCTATAATCAAAATTTGGAAGAGATGAAGTGACTACCTTTTCCTAGTAACGCATTTATGCTCCTGCTGCTGTTCTCCCTTCTTCGTACCTTCGCAATGCTCTTATAGTATTTCGTATGAGACAGTTCATATTGTACCAAATATGAGTTCCAAATAAAAAAGAAGAATTACAGTCAGTAACGACTGATGATTTTCAAACCATCTCAAGGTAATCAAATTTGATATTCACACTATAAGGGATATAAGGTGGATTTGATACATACGTCTTCCTTGTTCATGAGTTTCAATTCATGGAATTCTTCCTAACAAGGAAGTTATTCTCGACAATCACTATAAACACAGAGACATTAGTAACGCAGTAACTTGAATTACCCTATAACATTCTAAATTACCATATTCTCCATCACCATATGAAATTGAAGGTAGTGGAAGAAGAAAGCGGAGAAGAAAATTCATGTTATCAAAGTCTGTAAGTATAAGTGAGGAAAACGGGACAGTGATATTACGAATAATGTGAAAGTATCGATTAGATATTTCCGCGTAACTGAGCTACAACACATATGGCTATCAGCCACCAGTTTAGGCTACCTCACCAACAGGAAGCCAACATTACCCGAAACAGCTCAAACAAACAGTCAGAAACTTCATAGATTTGTGCCACACTGTTTCCTAATCATCGTTAGCAATGTAGGGTCACTTAGACCACTGAAGACATTGTAAATCCTAAGGACAGCTAACAATACGCACTCACTTCACGCTACTTGACAATTTCATCAGTGGATGACCAAATGACAACCGATTAGTGAATTCGTAGCTTTCCTCGTGCTCAGTTTTAATACAACATATAAACCACGCTGAGGTAGACTGTAACTCTGTAAATATAAAAAAAATATACCAGCCTACTCACTCGATGATGATGGACGAATTCATCAACTAACTTACCTCACTTAAATAATAATACCGTGCGTTTCTTCTCCCAACTCGCATACTAATCCTTCCAGATTTTCTTGATTCCTTGAAGACAAACCTGATCAAATACTTAGGTATTTTGTAGTGTTTGACAGGTTCAGATGAGGTTCAGGCAAGGTGCTGAATAGTAAACTTTTAAAACACACGCCCTTAATAGAAAATCTGATATTTAATAGACACTATGGGTGGCTTAAGTTGACGACGACCAGTTGAATTTTATTTACTTTTAGTGAGATTTTGTTATAGTGGGTAAGATTTGAAGCTCAGGACAAGATTGATAATCTTTTGTCGTTCTCTAGGCTTTGAGGTTTTTTCTTAGATATCTCACCACCGAGCTAGGAGACTTCATCAGCCTTTTCTCCATGAAGAAGATTTCATTAGCCACTAACGATCCAATCCTGATTCAATTTTCTAATTGAATAAATTGGTAAGCTAGCTTAATCACTCAATGATGAATATTAGTGAATACGGTTTTCGATCACACCTCAGAAAAATTATCCGTTGCATAAACACATGTAAAGCTTTCAATGTAATAGAGGCTATTCAATCATCGAATTTGTAAATGGTGTAACTATTTAAGTCTATTTCATATTTCATACAATTAGTTCACTTTATAAATTTTTGAAAAACAGGAACAACAAATATTCTGGGATGAATTGGATCCATTTCGTGTGCTCTAAATCTTCCACATACGCACTACAGTAAGCTCTCAGTGTTTAGCATAAGTCATCTGATACATTTCAGTAGTAGACAACACTAAATACATCCTCTTTTAAATCTGTATGATGTGATAGTGGTACAGGAATGTGATTACAGCTCAAGTTGGTAGGACGTATAATGGTAGGGGGAGAGCAACAAAGAATAGTAAGCCAAGTATATGAGTTAATGGTAGACAAATTGAAAAGGATATGCTAACAAACATGATCAAATGTAATAGGTTAAGGTAAATCAAAAAATGATGGGAATATGAATAGTGTTTGAGAATAATATGTCAGACAATAAGATGAAAGAATAAAATAATGAATAAAGTTGTAAGAAAAGAACAACTCACCAAGTCAACGCAAGGTGAACCACAAACTCTTTCCGCACACATAAGTCAGGTTTCAATCGACGGATTGCTGCTACTTCTGCATAACGTAGCAACCTACTATTTCTTTGTCTATTGATTACCTTAAAAGCTAAGATTCAGCCAACAGCATGACCTGTATCGAGTATGCACTAACCAATGTCGTTGCTTGATAGCCTTTCACCTCTCAATGACAGTACATGTTCAGCGATTTGTTTAGTAAGGATCCTCTCCGTTCCTCAGACATACATTCTGCTGCAAGTACAAGTGAATCAATAAATACAATTAGAGGTAACATGAAGAGGTCTGATATCTAAATTAGTTTCTCTGATCATGTTTTTCGTATCATAGACAAATGTTAATTTTTGCAGCTGGATAAGTTGGTGGGATGCATACATTCAATCGACGATTATTTTGTAAACTCAATTCATTGCTTTTGAATGGTAATCTGATGAACACTTTCTTTTTCGGCACGGTTGTATCATTCAGTTTCCCATTTTTAGGTTAAAAGTGTTTATTAATGAACTTTATGGGATATCCATTATCTACCAAAGCTTTTTGTATAGTATCCAGTTCATTATTGATGACTTCCTTACAGCATAGTCTGGTAGCCCTTAAGAGTAAAGTCTTGACCAGATTTCTTTTATAAGTGACTGGACAGAAACACAAATGGCAAATATTGACCGGTCCAAGTAGACTTATGATGAATTCTGTGTAGTCCTGAACCGTCTCCACTTCTTTTGATACTCAAATCTAAGAAATTTATGTTCACACGCAAATTTTACATCTGAATGAAGTGAATTAAAAGATCTGAGTAGGTTCACTACATAGAGTTTACTCTCATATATATGAAAGTATCATCTACATATCTTAAATGCAATTCTGTCTGCTTTATGGCATCGCTTAGCTCGGTATTTTCTAAGTAGCCTAAGAATATGTCTGTGAATATAGGATTAATAGGACTACCCATGGTCACACTGAATTCATCGCTTTTGAATGGTAGTCTGATGAACACATTCTTTATCGGTACGGTGGTATATTATTCGATTTATTATTAAATAAAGTATATAAAAATCGTACATATATATCTATTCATACAAACATATATATATATATATAATTGATCAGAAATATTAAAAAAAAATATATTCATTCGGAAGAACTTGTTTATTCTCTTTTAACATTTGCCTGGAAGTAATGGTGACTGCACAAAACTCTGTAGATTAAAAAAAAATGATGATATGAATTACTTTGACTTTGGACATTTGAAAGTGGAGTTGTAGAACACAGACAGCTAAGATTCAGTCACACACCAATATAAAGATGAAAATAATTAATGTGAGTTTTTTTCTGATGGTAGTGAAAATTTGATATGTGAAACGTTTAAGAAAAGAAAAACAGTAGAAAGCTTACAAAATTTAAACTCTTCCTCAACTGTTAAATATTATAGTTTCTGACAAGTGTTTTAAAAATAGTAATTACTTGTTTGTATAATCATTGTAAATAAACATTCTGTTGTGAATAATGAAAGTACATTTGTGTGTGTGTGTGTGTAAAAACGATGTGGACTAATAAACGAGAATATAAAAAGGCAAACACTATAGAAATGAAAGAAAGAGCGGTTTAGAAACATGAAAAATAGACATTGGTTTAATGTTTACAACAAGGTGAAAGAAAAAGGCCTAAGTTTCACTTTACAGTCAAGATTTATATTCTTTCTCATCAAAACGATTTTCGTGTCTCACACCACATATAATGTGATAGATGGAAATTTTTTGCAACACTTATGTTATGAGACATGAAAGTCGTCTTGATGAGATGGAATATGGATCACTGTTGTAAAATAAAATCAATACTTTTTCTCCTTCATCAATTAATGTCAAGTTATGTTTGGTCTTAACAATACAAAACAATAAAAATTAATAAACAGGACTGATTGAAAATTGTTTATTTCTTTTTGGGGGGTAACGGACAGGGAATCACGACAGACACTCCCATGAGTGTTTGCTGAATAACTGACTAGTAAAACTCAATGCAAAATAGTGTTAATCTATTTTAATTTTTCTCTTTTATTCCATTTCAAGCATGGTTTTATGCTGATAGTAATTCTGAAGATATATAGGTTCGTTTCTATTTTAACGATCTGCTGATAGTTGCCTTGATATAGAAATAATTGAAGCTTGAGACGGTCGAAATTGATGTTGTTCCCCTGTTTGACTTGTTGTAGATGGCCTATTCAACCAAGTAGAAGAATAAGTTGGCGGAGGTGTAGAGGTAGGACTGGGTAGTGTTTGAGAGTCTTCATTATTCTCGCGTAAATCTGGACGACTATGCACAACAAGACGTGAAAAATTTTGATCACTTGCTGCAGCATTGTGAAATGAAAGAGGGGTCGGAGGTGGTGGAGCTTCATCATTTGCTGGTGGACCTGTGTTTACACATTCTTCATAATTTGGTAATTTGGGTAAGGCACATGGTGGAATAAAATCGAACATTGGCATAGCTATGGAGAACAAAGATTGAAAGACAAAATTATTTCATCAATATAAAGTGAATCAATCATCTTCGGGTCAATCAATTACTATTTCTACTGGAATACGCTACATTCTGTTTGATAATAAAACAAAATAAGTAGGATAATGTTTTTGAAACTTTATTTTTTTTTATATTTTGAGAAATTCAAGTTCTTATGTAATATGTGAATAAATTTAACGTTTCCCCTTTTTAAAGAATAATATCTCATGTTGTTTAATCACTCGAAAAAGAGAAAATTTCACCCGAATTTATATGTTTCCACCGCAGACTCTTTTCATTCTTTTGTTATCTCTAAAAGGGAAGCGTAAATTTTTCGCTGTATTACTGAGTCATATTTTTACAGCATAACTATAACAAGGTAAGGACAGTCACTGAACTCCAGATTTCGCATATTGTGACTTTCCTACAATTTTTTGAGTAAATAGTTCACCTTTTACTGACATAGTGATCAAACAATGATATACTGATGCGATTGTTCGTTTGAGTTGAGAGTTAATCAAATGTACTTTCGCTTAACCAAGCACAGAGGTAAAACTTTGACCATAAGAGCTCATTCTAGGTAAATTACCATTCAAACAGTAGGTTAGACTCCACTGATCATAAATGCAGAACAATATCAAGAGTGGGGATAAATGTGTATTGAAAAAGCTTGATGATGAACGTAAACTTCCGTTAATCCAGCACAGCTAGAAAAAACTGTCTATGATTCATCGGTCAGCTAAAAGTTTATCTACAAATATACCTTGCCTTTCTATGAAATTTCCATTTAATTTAGATGGTGTACATTACCAAAGATCAGAATAAGAAGGAAATAATAACTAAGTGCTCTCTTATTTGCCACATTTTTCTGGTATGTACCAGCTTTTGATGCATAATTATTCTCAAACATGCAACGTTTTTCACAACATATCCAAATAATTTCTATGTTTCAATAGTACGTATATTTTTATAACGTTCACCATTGTTTAATACAGTGAATATCAGCGGGAAATGCATAGTATTACTACTCAGAGCAACAATATCTGGAGTTATATTGGTCTTGATGACTAGCAGAGGAAAACAGGATGCGCATTTCGTCCTATTTGGGGCTCATCACACGCACATCAGTGATTTTGTCCCCACTCGTACGCATCATTTCAAACACTGAGGCGTTATCCACTGAACCACTGGGGCACAACAACTGCCTCTTGTGCAACGGGTATCAATAGCTTTTGTGATATAGAGGTTGAGCAATTCTACCCTGCATAGCAACAAGGGAAATTAAAAATATCGTAACAATTCTTTAGATTTGTTTCAAGGCATTGAGGTTTTCGAACAGAATTAAGTCTGACTCTCAATTTTGGTACGTTCGGTGGTTTATTGTTTTGATATTTCAAAGTTTCATAGGGCAGATGTGAATGAAGTTCAAAAACTTACGTTCCTTTTCTTCTGATATCCATTTCCTGCTACAGTCTGTGTCATAGGAAAAGAGTTTTTATGTTAGTATTCGTCAAAGACTTACATAAGCTGGCAAACTGTTGAAAACCTGGAGACACTAAGTGACTGTTTCTTACTAGTATAAGACTACTTAGAAGTACCCACCACCCACTATTCATCTTCAGGTCTCACAATGAGTATTACCAACTAGCAATCGGGTCAGAGTCTAATGGTCCACAATTTCTAAATCCTGTTAAAAATACTGTAGCTGGGGAGGAAGATAATTTGATGAAAGCATTGTTTCCATAAAACAATAAGAAAACTAAATTTGTCTGAATGGTGTAGTATGTTTGTGAAACACATTTTGCACAATGTGATCACACACGTAGAGTTAAAGGAGAGGGAAATAAGTATCGGTTACATGAGAAGAATATACTGAAGGTCGAAATAATATTGAAGATCAATAAAGCAACAACAACAAAAGATTGGCAATACAACAACTCAGGATTCACAGCCCTATTTACCCAGGAAGGTGCAAATGTGTTGACAAATTGTTTTGAACGTATAAAGCTGGCTTAAGCCTCTTTATAACCTACGCTTCAACAAAGTTTAAAATGCCTCCTCAAAATATCTCATATATTGGATTGAACGACATTTGCCTATCAACCTTAAATCTCTTTTCAGAAGTATGTTTAGCTATTGAGAAGCTGGGATGTTCGTTTCTGGCATCAATTGGAACAGGCGACTCTAAATGTTTTTGAAGCCACTTTAGAGTTGTTCCTGTGGCCCTTATTTTCAATCATCAGTGAGTACTGTTTCCTAGATCTTTTTGAGAAACATTTCAAAAGTCATGTAAATAGGACTGTCTACTTGAAACAGGAGTAGGAGTTTATATTTGATCATGGATATTATTCCTAGTAAAAGCTAACGGTTTACTGTTAACTGCGTTGAAAAATAACTTACAACTCAGCTAACTACTTATGAGTAGACAAAATATTCGTCAATATTTTAAGAAGTTACATACGTTAATGAATACAAAATATTTTTGGTTACATCAGAACTAAGAATGATTTAGGACTATTCTTCCCTTAAAAAAATTATGAGTTGGCCGTAATAGCATTACATTCAGGAGACTTGCCTTTAGGAATGTGAATAAAGTAACAATGATTAAGTTTTGTTCCATGCAGTTTACTTCACAGCGTTTTCTAAAGAAATATTTCCTATATCACACTTAAGTCTTTCCACCTGCAGTAAGCCTGAAAAATGCCAATGGAGCATGAGCATCTACTGGATTCAAGACCGTCTTATAGTCTCAATCGGTTTCAAGATGACTGCTTAATGATCCTATCGTCATTCTACTTCCTTGTGATTGCATTTGTTGATGGTATAAATGTGAATATCTGTAAATGACCTATGATTCATGAAACCAATGATACTTTTTAAAGTAGAGATTTGCAGCAGACAGGAAAGAAGGGACTTGTAGGCAAATCTGCTGAGTAACTTTGTCTAAAGTTCGTTTGTTCATGAATACGCATTGTAATAACGAGGCGAGTGAAACAGTTAAGGGAAAACAACCCATGGACTGATAATTACGTGAAAGAATAAATAAACTCGCATACACTTTTTACCAATGTTTCAAAAGTTCAGAAGGATAAGCAGAGGTCTAAATGCTACGCTAATGTCTGTTGTTTTTCTGTGAGATGTTTTAGTAACTTTCTTTTGATAATAACAGCTGAGGAAGTGGGTAAGTACAAATCTGCTAACTTGAAAAACCTCTTAAGTAGGATGGTTATCTTTCACTAGATATCATTTCTCTATTTACAAGTATTCCAATAAAAGTAACTGTTTCTTATCCACACGACCTTTGTCAACTCCGTACAACAGAAGTTGGTATTCAACGTCACTATATGAAGGCCTTCTATCACTGAAATATCTTCAAGGCCAACTTCATACCTAATACAAAGAAGTCTACAAACTAGTAGATGTTGAAGTGATAGACTGCTTTTTGGGACTCATCTTGACTAACTACCTTATGGTCAAACTGAAAACCACTACACAATCAGTAGTAAACAGTCAGCTTCATATCTATCAAAGATGTGTAAATAGGATCTTCACTATTTGTGGCGAGAATATGAGTGTTGTAAATCAGCTTTAAACTTTTTGTAATGCTCACCTCTCCATTAGATACACTCTAGACTCATGTCGGACTATACGTTTTGCCCAAGATTTATTTATTTCTTGAGTAAGGATTATGGTTTATTTCATAGATTTACTTAAAGAAAGGCAACACTGAACTCAGAATACGTCAGTCTTCAACGTTGGATGTCTCTAAATGGGCTGATGAATAGTATCTATTCAGGTGACTCAAGGATCATAAAAATACGTGCAAAGGCAACTAATAAATAAGAAATGATGAACTTGCCAAAGAAATTCCAATGGAAAATTAATTTCCATTGAAATATATGAAAAAAACCCAAAGACAAATGAAGTCACTCAACTGAAACAACTAATTTCAATAGAATCTCTGCCGCTGGATGTTCATTTCCAGGATAACACTGATCAGATTTGATTATAAAGATATCTGAGTAGAACATCCATTGGTTGCTAATCTTCATACTATTTACTTCTGAAAGAGACTAACTGCTTGTTGACTGAAGGATAATCTGGTTTATTGAACCATTCTTGAGCCGGATTACTTTTTACTGCGGTGCTGAGCACTTCAACTGTCACATACACTATCTTATGAATTGTGCGAATGAAAGTTGTATAGCCTAGCTAGTAAACTGAGGATGAAAATGCTTTTACCCCTTTGTAATGCAACAGTTATTGAATTAGGGTCATTCGCTTGTGTGATGAAAAGTTAAACAAATTATCGTACAAGATTTTATCATACCACTAAAAGGAGCTTGAATAAGACCCTTAGGTATATAAGCATTTCAAAATCTGAAAGCGGTGACATGGACTCAAAATGGTATTTAAAACCTTCCTTTTTGTCGATAACTATCATTCAAGACAACTTTACCAGTATTTATTCGCACTTCATTATCTTGAAATGGTGAAGAATATCTGTAGCACATGTAGATTATTTTGGTTGTATTGTGTTCTCTGAGCTGGGTTGGAGCTTTCGCTGCCTTTCCAGATGAAATCATCAACACTAACTTCTGTATGAAGTGAGCTGTCAATATCTATCCGTGAGGGGTTGAGTAGCTTGCCCTGACGAACTGGTTTGCGAATGGTCACTTCTTTTGATTGTTGTGTCACTGACTGCATAGATTTCCCTGTTGGCCGTTCCCCTATTTGACTCCTGACCTTTCTGCTGTTTATCACTTTTTCTAAATGGTTGATAGATTGGGTTTATGTCTATACATCTATTGATTGCTGACTGACTGACCTGAATGTCATGCTTCTAAGAATTCTCTGATATTCTTTGTGTTTCCTCTGTCCAAGATTTCTACATTGTTAAAATTGAATTCATGTTCATAGTTATCCACTTGCATTGAAACCAGTGATGAAATGTCACGGCGTTTAATTGCCAACTGGTGTTCACGTAAATGAAGGCAAAGAGGGCGACCACTCTGTCTAATGTAATTGTGCTCAATATTACATGGGACAAAGTGGATTCCCTCCTAAAAGCTTGGCATTCTGGTTCATCAGCAACTAATAGATATATTGATATAAACTCAATCTATCAACCATTTAGGGAAACTGGCAAACAACAAAAAGGTAACAGGTTAAGCAGAGGAACGGCCAACAGGGAAATCTATGCAGTCAGTGACACAACAATCAAAAGAAGTGACCATTCGCAAACCAGTTCGTCAGGGCAAGCTACTCAACCCCTCACGGATAGATATTGACAGCTCACTTCATACAGAAGTTAGTGCTGATGATGTCGTCTAGCAAGACGATGAAAGCTCCCCGATTAAACAGTCCAGCTCAGAGGACATAATACAAAAGAGATCATTTCATTATCTCATCACTAGTTTGTTTTATCTTCTTGTTTATTTATTCACTATGGTATGGTAAAAGCTGACAGCATTAGATAGACACAATGTGAGAATAAGGAACTCACGAAATTCTCCAGGCATCCTGCCAGCACGAAATGCATCATCTGATTGACCGTTATAATTGTCATCTGAACCAAGCAGCCAACAACGACAACAAACACAATATCGATCACACTTTTGCCATGGAAGACACAAAATCAGAAGGAATAAAACAAGCAATATAGCCAATACACCCAGAGTAGCACCAGTTGCCCTGATTAATAGAGGAGAAAAAGAAACAAAACACAGAGAATGAAATACTCATAACTGTGATTATTCCACTACAACCAGGTCTACTAACATTGTATTAGTACTGTAGTTAAAAGCAGTGATGCTGAGTTACGTAGTTTGACAGCATTTCTATGATAGAAATACTACTACTGAGACATTATTCATACTGTCAAAAGGAAATTTTGTTCAGATAACAACTTTTCAACCATAGAATGGAATATTTAAACAGTCTGGTATACCACTGATCCGATAATTACGGATAATATAAAATGTATTGAGTTGATAGCATGAATTAAAAATGGAGTAGAAAACCAAAACAATTAATGGTTAATTAAAAACTTTTGTATTCAAAATTACTAATTATGAAATATAATCCATGTTTACATTTCTGAGAAAAACAAATAGCCACTAAATTACAGGTTTGTACTGATTAGACACGGAAGTACAGCCAAGTAATACATGTAACTCAGTCCTACAGGAGGTCAGTTGCAGCCTGAATAGCTCAGTTGTAAAGTTGCTGAATACAAAATTGGGTGACATGGGTTTGAATCTCAGATGGGGCATCAGTTCAGCCGAAGTTGCGGATATGCCTCGCTGACGAGTCCCAACAAGCACAAAACCTAGGTCCAGGGCTTCCTGCCAATTGCCTCTAACCAACTAAAATTATAGGTTTATTGGTTTTTTAGTAGAATAGGACTAAATACATAGTTAATGAAGCCTGAACATAATACAGATATTTTTCCTGCTTTATTTATAGTCTCCGTATAAGTGACGGGGTAAGAAAACCATAGTTGCCAAAAGTTCTACACAGTCAATAAACACTCCTTTAAAGAACTTTACTAAAAATAGTTTATCTTTCGATAAGGAATGTATTCATAAGCCTATTCACAAACTTGTTGTTATTTCCAGGCATGCAGATCGTTTTGGTGCATACAACGTGTAGTGTTGGATGCTAACCAGTCAAGAGGTTTTCACTTTGTGTCACAAGGAATAAGAGAATGAATAGCACGGTTCATCATTCCTGACCAGTTAGTTAAAGATCAACTTCCTTTTTTCATCTTCTTTAGTTTCACTGTGTGATTATCCCTTGTTTCACTCTTCATACTGGTTTTAACACTGACAAAGTTTACTAAAAATTTTTAAAAAAACCATGTTTTAACTTCTTTGCTAGGTTTTACAGAAAGTTGACTTCAATACTGGTGTAATCAATACTACAGACAAAGTCAACCAAACAAGTCTACTGCTTCTATCATAAGCAATTCAATCCTAAGCTTTCGACTGTGTTAATGTTTACTTACCTAACTGTCTGCTGCTAATACTTTAAAGTGGGACTGAGAAATCTGAACGAAATACAACACATTCTTAGTATACTACAAATCAATTTGTTCTTGTTTCGTCTAAATAGCAAGGGATATTAGTGAAGCAATAATCTGGATGAAATATTGTTTTTTACTGAAATGTATGTGGATTTGCACAAGCCTATAATATAATATATACAGAAGCCATTGAAGTTCACGCTAGTTAGTTGTGGAATAACTGACATTAAATACAGAAAGAAACCTTGAATTGCCTTATTATTTGCCAGACCTCCATATATTAACGGCAACAGCTTCACTGAGCAAGTTCAACTTGGAACGGTGACTAAATAAATACTACTTGATGTAGTAGAACCTAAGTAGTTTAAAAATAACGCCAATTTGCTATTTTCCTATCAGGCTTGAAGCAAAATTTCAATAATTATTTAATCAGATGTAGTTAATGAGACGATCTGGGATAACTGTGCTTTGATAGGGCAGTGCTACTGACACTTAGTGATGACTGAACGTGCAGTGAAATCCTGAGTCACCTCAGGATGCAACCTCTGGGTCAGTCGCTTGATACTGTACTAAGATAGTTATGAGACGAGTTAGGTAGCAGACCGGAAGCCCAGCTGTCTCTGTTTCAAATCCTAATATGAAATAACTCCCCATTTTGTCTTAAATCATCCACGCAGGTTTATAAGGTACAGTCAGATTTTGTGTAAATTCAGATGAATCATTACAGTACCTGTTTAATTCAAAACATTCCCTTATGTCATTGTACGGATTAGGAATTGAGGAACTTGAATACCTCAGTATCCTTTGCGGTCAGACAAACAGTGTAGCTTACAGTCTTCTACAAACAATCATTAGTTTGTGCTGTCTAGTTTTCTAACTGGCGAAACCCTTGGTTACCGAAGTGGAATAAAAATCTGGTCACCATTCGAGACTAGAAGCACAGTTGGTAGAGCACCTGGCTAGAAACCTGTTGGTCACCCGTTCAAATCCCGCCGCGGTTCGAATCCTCATTTCACCTTCAATCATCAACCAGTATCAATATTAGTCTGCTAAACCACTGCTATCTCAAAAAAGTCAAAATGATAACACAAATGAAATTATTAGATGTGATTTGAAAAGTACTTGAGAGGCATATTAAGGCAAGCAACAAACTAATTCGTAGTCATAAAGTCTGCATACTAATCACTGAATCATAATACATTTGATTGACTCATCACTAAAGAAAATACTATTTTTTAAGGCATATTCCTAATCTCTTAGATTTCACTTTTAGTTGGAATGCTACTTGTTAGTAACTGATAAATGAATCACAATTAATCAAGTGGTCAACCATGTGTTCAATACTTATTGCAAACCCTCTAGATGACGTAATCCGGTTACATTGTATATTTTACAATTTGATAAACTATTTATCTGCATTATTGGTAAATTTTATATCTAGATAATTTTGCAACGGTTCAAGTTGATACACCTCATATCAGCACACCAAGTAACGAAGCACTAAGGTGAAGGATGAAGAAATCAAGAAGAATTGGTCAAAAGCAGTGGAAAGCATTAAAAGAGATGAAGAAATGATAAAATACTGAATTCACCATATCGACGAGGATTAAAACGATGTGTGGATACATCTGCACTACTGACATCCGATTTGAGCAATATCACCTAGTCTCGAACCAATGGTTTCTATCGTCAGCTGGATGCCGATCGGTTTGTCCGCATCTCCCTTCATGGCTCAAATAAACAGTCAAGGACTTCTTGCAATGGTGATCTGTCTTAATCTAGACACTACAAGCCATCTTCCATTTTGAGCTAACGCTGAGCGATGTGGTATAAGGTGAGCAGGCGTAGGTAATACATATCCCAGGCATGTCGATCGATGAAGATTCAAGACCTTATCAACTTGCTTTCTTTTCCTCCCTAGAACTGTTAACCCGACTTCTGTGTTACGTGGTGACACCACGACACATAGGCTATGCTATGAAGGCTACAGTGGTCAAAAGCCTGAAGCTTTATCGTACCCTCTACCTTTAATGGCTATATTTCACAGCCATACATTGGAACAGAGTGAACTGCAGCACAGTATACTCAACTCTTAATAGACAATCGGATTTCTCGGTAGCGCCATAGATGGCTTAAGTTAAAGAATGCCAAGTGAGCTCTTTTTATCTGTACAAAGATTTAATGTACCACTAAACCACTATGGCTGATACGACTTCCAAGCTACAAGAAGAGCCCAATATAATCAACCACTTCAATCTCTATTGTTAGCCGACGCATTGCTGAAGACCGGTCCTGGAGCAAAAGTTTGCACTTGGTGGATGATAAACGCGTCACAAACACTCTCAAATTGTCACTCAAGGTATCCAGAAGATTCTTCATCTTGTCAGCGTCTTCATCTAACAGGGCTAAGTCATCTGCCTATTTGAGATCTACCAAGGATTATCCGGTGATTATAACAATCCCTGTAGAGTCAGATAATGACTGAAGGCCTCTATAATAACCTCTATGGTAAAAATGAATTGAAATGGAGAGAATGATCATCCTTGACGAAAACCACTTGACGTATACAACTCACCTCATACCTCACTATAAGATTCAGCATGCTCACGGGTGTTCTGGTACAGCGCTTTCAACAAGTTGATGTACTCACTTAGTGCCCCTTCCAGTGAGAGACATTGCCATAAGATTTCTCGATCGACAGAATCAAACAGCGCTTCGGATCAGGAAACACTTCAAGTTTCGAGCGCCGATAAGTGTCTGCGTTTCCAGAACCTAATTGAGGGTGAATAACTGATGGACACATCCTCGGCCAGGTTTGAAACCTGCCTAGTTTTCTTGGGCCTCCTGTTCCCAAGCTGCAGTCAGGCGTCTTTTGATTATAGAACCTGGAATCCTAGACATTACGTTCATCAGGAGGATCCTTTTGCAGTCATCAGAAGCAGATTTGTCGTCTTTCTTGAAGACTGGGACAATCAGTGACTGAGACCAGTGAGAGGAGTTCATATCTGATTCTCATGCACCAGGTAAGACTTTAGTTAACTTGATTAAAAATCCTTGAACTCTGTCCTTTTATATCTCCAGAACTAGTCCATTCAACCGTTATGCACTTGCTCGTTTCAAGTTACCTGCCACCTTCCCGACTTTTCTTTACTAAACTAAGTCTGAAACTTGTTGTGTCTGGCATTTTCACAATAAATAAAAAGATCACTGATCAGTTCTTCTCACTATACTTCAAGATACCGACCTCCCTCCAGTTTTCTTTTCCCTCTTTGACTCGATAGTCGATCATTAGTGTTTACTCTCAGTACTGCTTGTTTCAGCCAATAACTTACAAAAGAATTAAAAAGAAAAGCATTTCTTTACCTGTTTTGGGAGACTGTTGGTGTCAGTTACTTAGATAAAGTGTTGTCTTCATGTCAGTTATATCTCGCTTGGCAGATTTCATAGTTTTATCCTGAAATATTGAACCTTGATATATCAGTTTCTAATATGAACGCCAAATAAAACAACTTCAAATTAATGCGAAACACTTTCTACAGCGTAATACTTCAATTTTTTCTCAAAATACTAACCTCTTCATATAAAAATAACTGTATAATGGTTACGCTGCATTAAGTAAAAACAAGTACCCTTAAATATGTGGAGACTGCATGAAACTGTGTATAAA